AGACATCTATAGCTTATCATGATGTAGAAGTCCAAGATGTAACCCCTATTAAGCAACATGCTTATAGAGTAAATCCATCAAAATCTGAAGATTTGAGAGCTGAGGTCAATTATATGTTAGAAAATGACATAATTGAAAAGAGCAATAGCCCATGGAGTTCACCTGCTTTCATTGTACCAAAATCAAATGGTGGACGTAGGCTAGTGGTTAACTATATCAAGGTGAATCGAGTAACAAAGACCGATTCTTATCCAATACCACGAATTGACGACTGCATTGACAAAATTGGAACTGCTAAATATGTCAGTAAATTTGATCTCCTCAAAGGATTCCTAGGGGTTCCATTAACTGAAAGAGCAAAACAGGTATCTGCCTTTGTTACTCCTGATGGTTTGTACCAATTTAAAGTTATGCCATTTGGTATGAAAAATGCACCTGCCACATTTCAAAGAATGATGAACGGCTTATTAGCAGATCTCAAAAACACTGGTGTATACATCGATGATGTAATCGTCTATTCTGACACTTTTGATGAACACATGTGTTTGCTGCGTAAGTTGTTTGAAAGAATCTCTCTGGCCAATTTAACCATCAATTTGGCTAAGAGTGAATTTTGTAAAGCCACAGTTGAATATCTGGGCCATGTGGTAGGTCAAGGACAGGTCAAACCAGTGAGTGCCAAAGTGGAATCAATTACACAACTCCCAGCTCCTACTAACAAGAAAGAATTAATGAGAAGTCTTGGAATGGCTGGCTTTTATAGGAAGTTTTGTCCAAATTTCTCTTCAATTGCTCTTCCATTGACCAATTTACTTGGGAAAAACATCAAATATGTGTGGTCTGAGCAATGTCATACAGCCTTTGATAAAATCAAGGCCATACTTAGTGAAGAACCAGTGCTTGTTGCACCTGATTTTAGCAAGCCATTCAAAATTCAAGTAGATGCTTCTGATGTAGGAATGGGGGCTGTCCTATTACAAGAAAAGGATGGTATTGATCATCCAGTGAGTTATTATTCAAAGAAATTTGATAAACATCAGAAAAACTACTCTACCATAGAAAAGGAATGTCTAGCATTACTTCTGTCATTGCAACATTTTGAAGTATACGTTAGTGCACCAGTTCATGCAGTTACTGTATTTACTGATCACAATCCGCTGACATTCCTTCATAGAATGAAGAACAAAAATCGTAGATTGTTGAGGTGGAGTCTGTTATTGTCAGAGTACAATCTTGACATAAGACACATCAAAGGCAAGGATAATTTAATTGCTGATACTCTTTCAAGAGTGTAATACCTCTATTTCTAAGAGGCTATTTGACTTATACTGCATATGCTTAAGGCTTTGTGCTAATATAATATAATAAAAAGATTGTACTTCGAGTGTGATTTGATAATATTATTGTAATATGCTTTTGGGTTTTACTCAGTCTGTAACTATATAAATAGTATTGCGTTTGACTATTGTAAACAAATGTTATGTAAGTCTCAACCTCATCTTTGATAAATTGTAACCCTCGCCACACCAGATATTATTGTAAAAGTTTTTCATTATATTCAAACTTTTCTTTTAAGGAGGGAGGTGTTACAGTATTATGTTCTATTATATTCACATTAAGTTTAGTTTATCTATATGTATATACTGTAACTGATCTTTATTAGAGATCTTGGGTCAAGGTCACAATGACATTATACACTGTATCTTGTAAACAGAACTGAACTGAATGACTCATTAACTCTTGACCATCCAGAGAGTTCTAGAAAATATAACCATTCATTAAGACTTAATCATGTGACTGGAGATGTCCAATCAAAACTCAACAAGTAGTCTCAGTTCCAGAAGATTCTTTCTAGATGATTCTTTCACATTATAAATAAAACTGCAAAGTGGACTCAGTAGCAGATAATTAAGTAATCATAACTGGACATCTCAAAGGAACTAAATAAAGCAGAATTTCAAAGTTTATCAAAGGACATCTTCTTAGCAGAAAATTACAGACACATACTGTGGGAACATTTATAACACTACAAACATACAACCTGAGGACTTTATATGGACATATATTACAACACACACTATATACGGATTATCATATACATTCGTGGATTATCATAAACATTTGTGGATTATCATCAAACATTTGTGGATTATCATCAAACATTATTGGATACGAACATTATAGGATTACAACAAACATTATTGGATTATTACAAACATTGGAGAACTATTAACGATTATTGAAACATTTCGTGATCTGGAACATTCTCAAGGATCGTCAACGACATTTATCGACATCAAGAATAAACCGTATCATAGATTGGACATCACTTAAGTATTAAACCTCTTTTATATTATAGTTATATTGTTATATTATTTAGTTTTCAAATATAAATATATTGTTATCATATTTTAATTGCTGTTTTTATTTTCTGTTATTTTCGAACGTAACAGGGTATTTAGTTCTTATTAAGTATAACTATTGTTCAATGCCCGTTTCCATGGTAACGTCACCTGTTTTCAAAGTAGGTATCTATCACATAGTACAGGTCAATATCTCAGCTTTCCAACGATACCAAAATATCCCATAGGGTCAGCCGACTATTAAACTCCTTTATTTATGGACTTCTGAGGCTTGGCCTACTCGCCTAATATGGCAATACAAACATGAGAAAGTGCCACAACCCCATGCCTTTTGTGAGGAGTTCATAATCTCCACATGAAAATAGACGAATTCTTCTCCCACGCCATATTATTAATTTCAATTTTTTAATGTGAGTGTCAAATCTTTTCAAAGCAGTTTCCAGATTATCTCTGTTGTCTTTTGCGCAAAACATCGCAAAAAAGGCAGTTGTTAGTTGCGTTTGGATTAGGTGTATTGAGCACCTGGATGGATGTTTTAAAACTTTTCCCACCATGATCAGCACCGATTTTAACCCATAATTCACTATTAGGTATGGCAGGGTGGTCTAAACACAATGTGTTATACTGTTCCATTTTGTCAAGGTGGTCATTGAGATACTTTTGTAAGTTCCCAATATATGCCATAGGTAGTTTTTTTGTAAACCATTCCTTTTTTGGCCCCAGGAGCATCGTTATCCCTTTGAAGAAAATCCATTAACTTTCCTTTAACTTTAAGTTTTTTCATTAAGGATTTCTTGTAGTGAGTTTGATTATTCTGACTCTCAATATTTATGTTTGCATCTCGTAAATGTCTTGTTATGATTTTCATCTGACCATTATGATAACCTTGCAGCACTTTTCATTGAAACAGTTTGTCTTGTATTTAATTTATTCGATCTCAATTTTGTTAGAAATGTCAGCATGTTCTTTTGTTTCTTTTTCCTGGATTCATTGAGAATTTCTTTAGACATTTATTATCACCACCAATCACTTCTCTGCATTTTTTTTATTTTACTCGCTCTTTTACGTTTTAAAGGAGATGATGCTTTTTTACTGGATACTTGAGATTTCTCTATTTTCATCAAGATGAGGGGCTGAAATAAGTTTATTATCTATGATTAAAATCTAATGACTTTATAACCCCTAAATTACTACAGTCATAAAATGATTAAACAAGAGATGCACTTGAAGAGTTAATGGGCTTTTCATAATAAGATCAAGGGCCAGATAAGAGTTGTTAGAACTTAATCAAAATAAATAAATAATTGTTTAATTGTTCTTACCTTGCCTTTGCTTTTACAAACAAGATGGTATTTGATAGATGATTGATTTAGTTTTCTGCCTACGAGATGAGTGAGCAAGTGTTCTTCTAGTTTTGTGAATGGCATATCAATAGGCTTTCTGAGAAGTTCGCTTATACATGCATCCCGGCCCCTGCCAGGTGTCATGGAAGTGCCTATTGCTGAACTGTCTAGACATTGTTTTTTAGGAGTACTCTGGATAGTTATTTCATTCTCATTGAAGGTTATGTCCATTTGATCTTCTTGTTGTTTACGCTTAAATGATTTGACATTCTGAGAGTATAGCTCACAAATAGTACAAGTAGTTTCATTGATTACCGCAGAATTCCACATTTTGTTTGTATTTTGAATAACTTCTTTAAGTCTAAATCTACTTTCCCCTTATATTTAAACTGTTTCATAGCATTATAGCATCTCTGACATACTTTACTTGGATGCTTGTCCGGAACATCATTGTCAAGATTTACAACAGGGCATACAGTCACAAGTTCATTTTGAATCAGTACACATGCTTTTGCACTATTCCTTTTGCGCCGTATTTGGTTTTTGTCTCCACAAAGCCTACAGAGATAATCAAATGCTTTTCTATGTGCATCTTTGTTATGGCCTCCCATAATGTATCCTTTTTAGTGCTAATAGCTAGACGTTATATCATCCAAAATGCGTGTAAGGTTGTGTGAGGGTGTGTAGTTTAGAAGTAAAATTATTGATGTAAAACCGAGTAAACTCTGATGAAACTTACCTTTTCATGATCAGAAGATAGTGTTAATAGTGTTTTAGTTGGTTTTAGTTCACTTATACAAGGTTAAAGTTGGGGCACATCAAGATAATTGGAGAAAGTTCCTTAATGATCCATCTAGGATTTGATCTTACATAAGTAGTTGAACCACAAGCCAGATGTCAGATATAAATTAAAGATAATTTCTATGAACTATCTGTGACTCAGTTCAACTTCTCAGAGGGGCAAATAGATTATCTGGGATAGGGGGAAATCAAAATACAATACTAGTATACAAGATGAGAAATAGTGGCAGCCATTTTGATGCTACTAGTTGCTTAGCAACAGCAGCAGAATGAAGGCTAGGCAAGATCAATAGCTAGGTATCAGGTTTCCTGCTACACACTGACTAAGTGTGATCATGAAGGCCTGGCCAGGGATGGTGTGAGTTATCAATACAGGTATTTTGCATTTTTCGGAGACTGTTGCCATGTGAGGACCCTTGGTGATCCACTCGCACATTTAGATTTCTAGTATTTGTAAAGATGTATAAAAGTTAAAATGTATACTTACATGTACCATGAGCTCCTATCGTTGGATTTAATCAAGGAGTATGATTTTAATCTTTGAAATTGGCTAGGTCGTGGTTATGCAACAATAGTATTTTCGAAATACCGCTGTGTAATGCCTGGGTCACATTTGCTGCGACTATTTTGTTCGAAATTGAATACATTTCTGAACACAATACTCAATCAGCCGGGCGTCGTAGTGAAAATCGGAGCAAATGTGAGCAAGGCATAAAACAATTGAACAATACACAACCGTATCAGTTTCACATTTACTGCGGTCAAAAGCATTTACAAAAATACAGCCAGAGTTGACAATCATAAAATGAAACCAATCCCAAAAATGTACTGCATTGAGTTCAATGTTATAACCATGTCGATTTACATGAGTGTCCGAATCATTGTACCAAATTTAAACCTTGACTGTTCTCCAGAAAGAAATAAGCTGACATATATTATTTTTCACATTTTAATACAACTGAAAAGATAATAAATGTTTTAATATAAAGTTGACGTTGTTATAAATGTTTTAAGCGCAAAATCAAAGCACAACCATATAATTAAAAAAAATTTAAAAATTACACTGGGATTCCAACTGGATACAACTGACGAGTTGTATTTAAGGTGGCCTAAAGTGCTGCTTATTTTTTCGTGAAGCCACTCAGTAAAATTACGATTTCTCTGCACCCTGATGTTCAATCAACGACGTTCGAGTATCTATGTGTTCCTGACACGTTTGGGCAACCGGTTATGACAACGTCTACCCTATGTTTGCACGCAACATTGACGTAATTCATGACTGAAATCGGGCAGACAAAAAATATGTGATATTCTTTCAGAATTGTTTATAATAACTATTTACAAAAATGTTTCGGAGACACAAATCCATTTGGGTAAGGCTTGTTTTATAGTCGAAAAGCCCCAATAAGACAATACAAACCCAAATTAAACCCGGAAGAATGCAGATTTCATGTAATGATTTACGTTCATGTAAACAAGTTAAGTACATATAATCCCCATATAAAACACTGGCCTACGTGACATGTAATAACATGTTTAAATTGAAATATAGAACATTTTCAACATAGCATTTACTTCCGTGCTCTGTATTCCCATATACCTGCTTAATAAGGCAATGCATCTTCAAATAAAACCTTATCCAAGTAGATTAGATTCTCTGGAACACTTTTGTAAATAGTTTTCACAAGCAATTTTGTTTGTGAATCTCAAATTTTGTCTTCCCGGCTTCAGTCATGAATTACGTCAATTTCGCGTGCAAACTTTGTGTAGACCTTGCATGCTTTTGTTCTTTCATATCGGTAGCACGTTGGCCTCATGGTTAACGTGCCTAGCTTCCACGCTCTAGGTTAGTCGATCGAGACCCGTTCATGTCGAACTTTTTGATTTGCTTGTTGTCAAGATATAATAAGTAGAACAAAATCCAGAAAAAGTAGATCAAAAATACTCCAATGGAGTATAAAATTGTCATCAGGATTCCGAAATGAGACGAATGTTAACTCGTTAAATTTCGGTTGATAAAATAGGTCAGAAAATCCAGATTAATCCGAATAAGGTTCGGGAATTTTCGTCATAAGAAGTAGATCAAAAATACTCCAATGGAGTATAAAATTGTCACCAGGATTCCGAAATGAGACGAATGTTAACTCGTGAAATCTCGGAAGATAAAGTAGGTCAGAAAATCCGGATTAATCCGAACAAGGTTCGGGAATTTTCGTCATAAGAAGTAGATCAAAAATACTCCCAATGGAGTATAAAATTGTCACCAGGATTCCGAAATACGACGAATCGAATCGGCAAACTCCGATACAATAATGAAGTGCGTAAAAACCGAAATGATCCGAACAGCGTTCAGATTAAATCGTAAACAGGTGACAGGGGCTTCCCCTCATCTTTCCCGACATGGTTTTAAAAGCCTTATATGGATCTATCACGTGACATTCAAAATGACGTTCCCATATGGTTCTGTGGGCCTTATATGGATCTCTCGAACACGTGACCAAATCAAAATCAAAATTTTACCTTGACCATTGGATGGGATTTCATAGTAAATATCCAAGAAAACATATCCTCGTGATCCTTAAATCATTTAAATTCGATCATTTTATATTCACCCTTGATGAAAGAAGTCATGAAAACACATCATCATGTAAGGGTTTTCACCTAAATTAGCTCGTTTTATCTTGACCCTTCAATTGAATTTCATGGAAAAATATTTTATGAAAAAATATCAACATGTTATGATTTGTATTTGAATAAGACCGTTTCATCTAAATACTTGGACAATATTTCATAGAAAATGCACTTAAAAAATATTGGATTGGATTTACAGGATTCGCCTCAATTTATCAATGTACCGTTTTATCTAAATACTTGGACAATATTTCATAGAAAATGGATTTGCCTTAATTTATCAATGTAATGTAAGTATTAGATTAACTTTCAAATAGGGTTCTATCTAACATTTTTATTGAAATTAATACTAGGCAGGACTCGCTCTCTGAATACATGTAGCTAATAAAAAGTCAACCCTTGGATGTGATTTCGTTGGGAAAAAAATATGACAAGTCCAGAATCAAATGATGTCCAGAACCTCTTAAGATCCTGTTAAAAGGAATTCCGTGCTTGCACTGGAAACCTTTTTGGGCCCCTAAATCCTAAAATTTGGAAAAATGAAGGCCCATTTTTGATAATTTGGCCTAAAAATGTCAAAAGGCCAAGAAAATCCCAAAAAGGCCTACTAATTGAGGCCCTACAAACTTCTTTGAGCTTAATTTTTTCTCATACTCTTAGTAAACTATTGATTCCTACCTGGAACGCATTCATACTCAAGGTCGTGACAGTGCAAGTTCTTGCAGCAGGACTTCTTAATAGATTTAGCGTACTTGGCCAGACGCAGACGACAGGCCTGAAAAAGAATAACTACGCATGATTTCACATATGGCGTGGTTGTCCAAACGCAGACCACAGGTCTAAAAAAGAATGAGTACGCATGATTTCACAGAAAGCATAGTTGTCCAAACGCAGATGACAGGTCTGAAAAAGAATAAGTTCGCATGATTTCACATATGGCATAATTATGGCATATAAAAATGCATTACTCTGATAAATGCTAAATATGTCTTGAAATGCAGAAAAATAGAGTCAAATGTCGGAATAAAATTTACAAATTGTTTGGAAAAGAGAATCGGGAAAATAATTCTGACTAGGAGGAATGAAAGCTTACTTACCTCCATGTTGCTGCAATAGTCTAAAGCCTTCTGGGTAAAGTTGTGACGACATTCATTTTTAGAATTATTCATAACACATGTGAGATTTTGCTCAAATGGATACAATACGGCATCCTTCACTACTATCGTTTCACCCTCTGAGCAGCTTTGAAAGAAGTAAACCTTGTAGCCCCTCCGGTCCTCTTGGCATGAATGGTCTTTTATTGTTACCCCGACCTCTGGAAAGGGAGATAAGACATTTTGAAAGTGCAACTTTGGCAACATTAAAAAACAAGAGGATAGGGATGCTTACGTTTTGAGTTGTCTTTTAGTGTTACTCCGACCTCCGGAAAGAGAGATAAGACATTTTGAAAGTGCAACTTTGGCCATATTAAAAAACAAGAGTATAGGGATGCTCACGGAATGAGTTGTCTTTTAGTGTTACCCCAACCTCCGGAAGGAGAGATAAGACATTGAGAAAGTGCAACTTTGGCAACATTAAAAATAAGAGTATATACTGGATGAGCGTGGTGTAAAAGTGGTTTTGAAAAGTAGCAAATTTCTCTTCAGGTAGGTTATTTGCGGTTCTATTGTGGTATTTGTGGTTCAGTATGTCCTCACTATATTGTATTCGGTATGGGAAACAAACTATTCTTGCCTCAGAAGCGGAACATTTATAGTATTGGTGGTGTATACTCTACGATACTAAATATCGTTTGAACTATTCTCCGATTATTCTTAAGAGCCAGGAATAGTAGGATATAAGTACATAGAAAAGATGAGTATAGTATGTATTACGTAATCCAAAAACAAACTATACACCTCTTATACATGTACGCAAGGCTATATATTCTTTGATGTGCCTTAATTTGCTTGGAGTTAATCCTATTTCATTTTTCAATTAAAAGCGCTAAATCAAGATACAGATTTATTTACTTTATTGGGATTTCTTTTGTTCCCCGCTTAGAAAATAGTCGTTCAAACAAATATGGGGGTTAACATGACGTAAACCTATGAGGAAAACCACTGGTCCTTTTTGAGGAGTATCCCAAGATATTAATACTATTACATAACATACTGTACGTACTTATTTTATGTGAAATATTTGGTGGGAGCCGTACGCTAATGAAAAAAAAACATCATTATTGTGGCAGACTATTTTACCAAATGGACCGAGGCATATGCTATCCCTAATCAGGAAGCAGAGACTATTGCTGATATTGTAAGTAAAGAATTTATATGTCGTTGGGGATGCCCCATGTCAATGCATAGTGACCAAGGGAGGAACTACGAAAGTAAAATCTTCCAAGAGGTCTGTAATTCACTTGGAATTACCAAAACAAGAACAACACCACTCAGACCTTGTTCTGACGGAATGGTGGAACGCTTCAACAGGACATTAGAAAGTATGCTGAGTATGTTTGTGGACAAACATCAAAAGGATTGGGATGAGTATCTCCCGTTCCTTATGTTAGCATACAGGACATCCATACATGAAACATCTCAATTTACACCCTGTGAATTGATGTTAGGGAGACAGCTTAATCTCCCTGTGGATATGGTGTTTGGTTCACCACAAGATGAGAAAGAATCGGAAACCAACTATGTCGCTTCTTTGAAAGAGAAGATGGAAACTACCCATGCATTTGCAAGGGAGAACCTGAAGAAGAACAGTGTTAGACAAAAGAAACACTATGACCTGAAAGCTGGCCCATCCACGATGCATGAAGGAGATGCTGTTTGGCTTCATTGCCCAATGAGAAAACCGGGTATTTCACCCAAATAACAGAGGCCATATCAGGGCCCATACATCGTAACTAAAAGGATTAGTGAAATCACATACCGAATACAAAGATCTAGGAGAAGTAAGCCAACAGTGGTCCAGATAGACAGGCTAAAACCTTACAAA